TCCTTCCCGGATAAAATCGTGGCATTTTTGTAAAAGGCCCAGCGCGTGTGGCAGTTTTGCAAACTGTTGACCTATTTGTGGCATTTTTGTGATTCCCCCTTATTTCTTTGACAAATATTTTTAAAATTAATTAAGGTATATACCACTACTTTTATATAGGTGTTAGTTAGTTATATATATATATAGAACTCAAATTACATTTCAGTTGCATATACGAAAACAGTCCATTTGTGACACAAATCTGCGGTGGACGTGATCTTTTGCAAATTTTCAATGAACTTGTGATAAAGTTGCTATTGTCCTTAACGATATCTTAAATCCATCGCAAACTTGTAACGGAAAAATGATACACAAATCCGTCGTAAAACCCTCACAATTCGCGATAAATTTGCGACATCCATCTTCGACCTCTTGCGACCCAATTGCGATGATGCTGGACGTACATTGGCTGCAATTTTTGCAATAGATATGCATTAAAAAATTGCGAGTCCGTGTGCTAATCGCAAATCCGCGGCAGTTCTTACTATATGTTTGCAGCAGATTTTTTGAGTGATTGTTTGCGACGAATTAAAATAGAACTTTTACCGTCGACAATTTAAGACTAATTTGCACGTGGTTTTTGATTTGTGACAAACCATTTGTGACGTACTTATTAGATTTTCTTGTAAAAACCGTCACTAAGGTCCATTTGCAGTGGAGAGTTACGAAGAAATCCTCCATCGCAACTCACATATTTTTTTTGTAGGGGTTATTAATTAAAAACAGAAATTATATAGGAAATCTTATTTGGTGTGTGCAAGGAACCAAAAAAAAAAAGAAGAAGACTAATTAATCTATTGGTCTTTGACCCGAAAAAGTTATGAATATATTCACGAAATTACTTGGTTGAATATATATGTCTAGGACTTTCCAAAATTTATGGCTTGATATTCATGACTTATATAAGTATGCATTTCTTATATACTAGAATAGGATCCGCATTAATACGCGGATAAATACTATAAAAATTAATGAAA